CTCTGATTCTTTTCGCACAAACCTTGCTGTGGCTACAGTGTGGGAAATGGACTGTAGGCAGCAAGAGAGGAAAAGGGCAGGCACTGCAGCTGCCCATGCCAGAGGTGGCAGTGGCTTGTGTTAGGATAACGTAAGCAGAGACGGAGGGAAGCAGCTGAACCGGGACTATTTGAAAGGAGAGAGACCACAGGACTTGGCAGCCCAGCTTCAGATTGGTGGAGCTGTGCTCTCTTATTATCTCAATCCTGCCCAGTGATGTGGCTCAATAATCAGCTCCTGGGGGTCACAGGAGCTGATTGTAAAGATTCTGGTCCTCCTTCTGGGCACATGGTAGGAGTGGACTCCTTTGCCCCCATGGCATTACGCACGGCCACATAACCCGCTTTGGCTAATGAAATGAGTGGAACTGACACGTATCACTTCTGGGCAGAAGCTTAAGAGCCAGTGTCTGATTTGTCTCTGTCCCTTGCCCCTGCTGCCACAATTGTGGCTACACACAGAGAGGAGCCTCTAGCAGCTGGACCCCTGATGCTGTGATGAGCAGAGCTCCCAGCCAACCCACGGTGGACACGGAATATGAGCCAAACAGACATCTTGGTTGGCTTGGGCTGCCAAGATCATGGAGTTGTTTGTTACCTCAGCCTAACCAAGACTATCTCAACTGATACAAGCCCCACGGCTGCAATATTCCAAAGTTAACAGGTAACTCTATATACACCTATTGTGGCTTGACTCAGCTACAAAGGAATAAACTTCATGGAGTGGTGGACTGATATTCAGGAAACTATTTTACCTCTTTTTTTTGTGTGTGAGGAAGATCAGCCCTGAGCTAACATCCATGCTAATCCTCCTCTTTTTGCTGAGGAAGACCGGCTCTGAGCTAACTTCTATTGCCAATCCTCCTCCTCTTTTCCCCCAAAGCCCCAGTAGATAGTTGTATGTCATAGTTGCACACCCTTCTAGTTGCTGTATGTGGGACGCGGCCTCAGTACGGCCGGACAAGTGGTGCGTCGGTGCGCGCCTGGGATCCGCCAGTAGCGGAGCGCGTGCACTTAACCGCTAAGCCACGGGGCCGGCCCCAGGAAACTATTTTAATATGATTTGGGCTTGATGTGGCACGTGAAGGCACGGATATCTCTAGCGAGTGCTTTGGGCGTCCGGTGCATTTACCATCAAATATATGCACGGCATACTGAGGCCAAAGAAATTCTCTGGGAAAGACACATCTTGCATCCACAAACTATGTAATGTGCTAATTTTATCAATTAAAAAAAGTTCAAACTCAGGTTAAGATCACGTTTTAATTCTAAAACTACCAGATAATCAACAGTGGTGCCATCATTGGGGAATTATCTAGAAATTCAGGCTAGAAAGATACTCATCTGATGAATTTAAAAAGCTAAACTATGTTTAATATTTCCTTGAATACTGTCCACGTCTGTGGATTCTAGAGGCAATCACTGAACAGGTGCGAGGCTTAGAGCAGCAAGGTACAGGGACCTTGATCCACTCAAAGATGTCGGGTCTGTACGCCTTAACGGTGCAAGTGGCAAGCGAGACATTCTTGAAGTGGCTCAATCGAGAAGAGATTCTGAGGTGGTTCATTTTTCTGGGCCAATTTAGAATCAAAGCTCTCTACAAATTTTGCCCTCAGGGTATCAAAGCAGGTATCTTGAGGTCCTAGGTCCCGCTGGAGCCAGTATAAGCTTGGTCTCTTAACAGAGTTCATCAGTAGCCTCTGCTGGGTGGTGAAGTCCTGTATGCTGACTCAATCTGCCCTTGAAAATCAGATGGACCCTCAGATCTGTCCTGGGCAGCAGCCAAAGAGTACTTAAGGGAAGTGGGTATGTCTTAGTCAGCCAAACGCAGGAGGAGAGGGACTCGAAGGACAATCACTGCCCAGCACAGGACAGACAAGAGGCCGAGGCCCCATGAGGGCTCATGAGCTGTCAGATTCCTGAGCAACAGAGGAAACTGTCAGGTGCACCCTGACCACGGGGAGCAGGATCAAAACTCTAGTAAAGAAACCAGCCGGCTGCTGCATTTGTACAAGCCAGTCATCAATGGGGGCCAGCCACACCAAGATGGTACCTTTAATTCCCAAACTCATTTACGTGCACACGGGGTTGCATTAGGGGAAGGTGGCGGGGGGAAACACTGCCCTATTGACACAGATTTCACAGGCAAAAAGTCCACTGTCACTAAAAGTCTGCCCCAGGATTCACAAGGATGGGAGAACTCGGAGCAGGGCAGAGGGGAAACGCACTCACAGCCCCTGCTCCTGGCACAGGAGAGTCTTAGGATGGCTCCACCCTCTTTCTGAATTACTTCACTCTGGAGCCCACCCACCCCACTGCTCAGGCCTGAGCTTCATCTCACTAAGCCTGAGCCATCCAGTCTTCCTAGGGTTGGTGTTGTTCTTTGTAGGTTTGTCTTGTCTGAAATAAGTTTTGCAGAACCATAAGCTTGAGGAATTACAAGGTGGGGAGGGAGTTGCTTTGGGCTGCAGAGAGAGCATTCAGCAACGTGTGGTCCCCAAAGATGTCCACGTCGTAATCCCATAACCTGACAGTATCTCACCTTACATGGCAAAAGGGACTGTGCAGATGTGATTAAGTTAAGGATCTCTGAGACCACGATCACAAGGATCCTTGTAAGAGGAAAAGGAGTCAGAGGAGGAGATGTGACTATGCTGCCAGAAGCAGAGGTCAGTCATGTGACTGCTTGGCTTTGAAGACAGAGGCGGCCACAAGCTAAGAACGTGGGCGGCCTCTAGAAGTTGGAAGAGGCAAGGAAAGGATTCTCCTCTGGAGCCTCCAGAAGGAACCAGCCCTCTGACACCTTGATTTTAGTCCAATGAGACTGATTTTGTACTTCTGACCTCCAGAATTGTAGATAAGTGTGTGCTGTTTTAGATCACTATATGTGGTGATTTGTCGCAGCAGCCAGAGGAAGCAAACACACAATGCAAGATATTTCACCATCTGAATGTCCCCAGTTCAGCCTTGTACTAACTTCCCTTAGCAAGAAACAGCCAGGCTGAGTTCCCTGAAGAAGCTGTCATGGAAGGGCCGCTTCAGTGTGATGCTTTCTGCAAATGAGAATATCTTATAATCATAATATGTTGGTTAGGCAGAATTCTGTTTTATGACATTTTAAGGTCTTAAAACATTCTGGATGGGTCTCAAGATTTGTATGAGGCTGCAAGTCATTAGATTAAATTAGAATATAATTTTCCCCCTCTTTTCATAAGAATTATTGTACTCTTTGCTATGAACAAATGTAGAATTTCTAAGTCTTCCTTTTTATGGACTCAACTCCACTTTTCTTCAACAGAAAAAATGGAATAACAGATTTATTCTGGACCTGAGATAAACTTGCTTTATAACTGTTTAAATTAAGATCCAACGGACCCTGACGTGATCAGATTTCTAATCTGGTTTAAACACAGAAATTTACAAGCATGTAAACAGAACAGTCAGTGACAGTTTTCCCCCTGGAATTCCCAAGTGTTGGAGTGGGTTATGGAAACTCTTGCTCCGGTTTCTATGATAAAGACAGAAGGAAATCCTAGCAAGGCGCCTCTTCAGATGAGAAACCAGGAAATCCATCACATATGGAGTTTGCCACAGGGCTCTGTCAATACGATAGAGCCGTGGTGCCCACACTTCCTGTGCATCAGCACCCCTCAGAGAGCCTGTTAAGCCAGAGCACTGGGCCCCAGCCCCAGGGCTTATTTTTCAGTAGGTCTGGGGTGGAGCCTGAGAACCTGTATTTCTAACAAGCTCCCCGTGACACCTATGCCGCCGGTCAGAGGCCACACTTTGAGAACCACACAGTAGAGGGACCCCCCCCCCCCTTACACCAGGTCCAAGTTCTCCCATGTCCTGAGAAGGGTCATGACGACCTCATCTGATTGAAGTGTCCCTGCCAGGACAGTTAATATACTGCAGTTGTTGAAGCATCTCCTACTTGACTCGAAGCCAGGGGTTCACGAGCTTGCTGCTATTGGAATCACCTGGAGAACTTTTAAACCCCTCAGGGCCCAGGCCTCTCTCCTAGCCAATTAAATCAGAATAGGGGGTGGAGGTGGGCAGGTCTCAGGAGTTTTTAAAGCTCCCCAAGTGATCCAAAGTGCAGCCAAGAGGGAGAACTGCTGCTCTAAGCAAACAGGATGGATGACAAAATGATGCCAACAGGCTGAAGCAGACAATTCAACAGGGCCCTTCGCCGGGCCCAGGCCTGTCTTCTCCAGGGCTGGGCTCCTGCCCCTCGCATCGTGACATATAATAGGCACTCAATAAATGCTTGCTGAATGAATGAAAACTAATCAACCAACAAGCGTACAGAGGGCTAGTGCCTCCTTTCTCAAGGGTACCTGCACGAATACACAGAAGTAAGTTATGTCATTATAAATTATTAACCTTCATGAGGGCAGTAACTCTATAATAAAGCAAGCTCCTCTCAGAAACTTTCTTGGGAAAAAACTCCACATTCATAAGTCCAAAGAAATATCATGACAACTATGAAGGAAAACTAGAAAACACTTTTTTGGTTCAGAACAAGGGTCGACAAACTATGACCCACAGGCCACATCCAGCTGCCACCTATTCTTGTCAATAAAGTTTTATTGGCACACAGCCACAGCCATTGGTGTCCGTGCTGTCTGCGGCTGCTCTCCCACTACGACGGCAGAGCTGAGTACTGTCAACTGAGATGGTATGGGCCACAGAGCCAAACATCTTTACTCTCCGGCTCTTTACAGAACACATTTGCCAACCCCTGCCCTAGAGAAATGAGAGGACATACACAAGCAAAACACAATGTGAATGTCTTTAGGTGGTGGAATTCGGGTGACTGTTTTCTCTTTTTCTGCTTTTTCTTATACTAGCCAGCTTTTGAGTTGTGCGTTTAAATCCTAAACTGAAGAAGCAGCAGCATCAATCTGCCTCGATGGCGGCACTAGTGAGCGAGCTGCCTGCTCCCCATGGTGACAGTACCTTGTTTCCAATGGCCTTTTTTGGCGGGAAGTTGTAGGCCCTGACTTGAGGGTATTTGTTCTGTAGCTTGTGGTGCAAACTCCTGAACTCTGTGTACCGCCGATAGATGTTCCATTCGTCATCCTTTATCCGGATGTAAACCTGTCAAGAAAAGGAAAGAGAAAGAAAATGTGAACTTCTCTTAAAACTCTCATTACAAAGGGATGGGATTTTGGCAACGCTCCACCCATGAAAACCAGGTCTGCGAGAGCAGGGGCCACATCTGTCTCCCATGCTGTTGGATGCCCAGGGCCTAGCTCAGAGCAGGGACTCGGCGGGACTGAGGGCACAGATGGCTCCATGAAAGAATGACTCAATCAGGCAAGTTAAGGAAACAACACCCTATACATCATTTTCCCAACATCAGCAGAGATCAACAGTCCAATTAAGCTTAGAGATGCATTCTTCATACTTTTGTCACATGCATATTGTAGCAATGACAAGCTGCTGGTGAGAGTCCTTTCATCCTCTCTGGTTGTGCATTTCCTTGTCTATAAAATGGAGCTGATTGACGGAAACTCCTCCCAAGGTGGGGTGGAGAACGTTCGGACATACAAGCAACGCAGCTGTGCCTGGGACATGCAGACCGCCACACAGAGGAGGTGGAAATCAACTTGGAAAAGAAGGGGGGAGGCCAGAGTTGAGAACAGCCCAACTGGATGGAAGGTCACGTCCAGATGGGGTAAGCACAACTAGGGCACAGAACTTCTCTATTTTCATCAAATTGTGACTCGAAAGAGAACACTGAGGGTATAAAATGTAAGGGATGTGTCATCAGCTTTTTACAGGCCCCACCACATTCCAGGGACACAGCAGCTACACCACAAGGGGAAACAGAAGTGGAAGAGAGATCAATGCATTTTTAAAAATTATATGAGTTAAGAACAGCCCAGAGAGTAAAGTCTCTGATGATAAATAGCTACTGTAATTGCAATCAGTGAATGTCAATACACATCTTAAAAACCTCTTTGACCATAAAAATAGGCATCTGTAGTATGAGTGATAAATTCTGCCTCCACATGAAAACCACCAGCATGCCCAGATGCAGACATTCTATATTTGAACTTTTGTGAGGAGAGCATCAGGGTCTCTCACAATATTCTTGTGAATAAGACAGAGGAAGGCGGACTGAAACCAAAGAATTCCAATTAATGGAGAGACGTTTCCAGTGTAATTAGAAGGAGAAACAGAGGCCTATCAAGTTTGTCAGAAGTGCCCAGGCTAAGAGAGACAGTAAACATCTGGATGACAGATATCACGTGATCTCAACTGGCTTGAGGGACAAGTCTAACCCAACATAACGAAATTCAAAAATCTCAGTTGTCAGGTCCTGCCACAAAATCCCCCCAAAACCCAACACTGTGAGTATAAGATGGGGAGGCACAGCACAGCAGTGGCTGTGGGACAAAGAGCTAAGTGAATAATATGGAAGAGCCACCAAAAAACCCCATGTAATCTCCAGACCTCATTAAAAGGTATATGATAACTTCTAGAATCAAGGAGTTGAAAGTCTTGCTCTTCTAAATCGGCCAGACCAACTTAGTTAGGTTTTGGATGCCACCTGTTAAAAGACAAACTGAAATATGTTCAGAAAGGCCCAGATCACTTGCTACTCAAAGTGTGGTCTGTGGACCAGCAGTGTCAGCATCATGTGGGAAGATGTGAGAAATACAGCATCTCGGACTCCACTCTAGATGTACTGACTCAGAATCTGCATTTTAACAAGAACCCCAAGTGGTCCACACACACTTTGAAGTTTGAGAAACACTAGGCCCTAGGAGATGATTTACAACCAAATTATCAGAAGACAGGTGGAAGACATTGTAGGATAATAACCTAAGAAGCCTCAGGGTGAAGAGGGTGGAGATCTCCGAATTTCTGGAAAGGCTGTAATGAAGAAGAGGAAAGATCAAGATGATGTGTTCTGGGAAGTTCCAGGAAGCAGACTTCCAGCAGATAGAAACCAGAGGAAGAGAGATATCAGTAGGGAAGAACTTTTTAGCAGCCAAAGCTGCCCAAAGAGGAAAAGGTATGTCTCCATGGTTTCTTGGCACAGGGTGTCCAAGCCATGGGATGATGACTGACAGGACTGTTATCACAATTATGCAGGGACTTGATTTGTAAGGGCGAAGTGTACATTAGACCCCAAAGCATCTGGAAGGGCCTGGGTAGTTATGGGGAACTGGGACTTAAGGTTTCACAGTCTCCACAGACTGAGACATGATCAATCAGTTAGCAAAGAAGCCCAGCAGAGCTCAGGGCCTTTAATGCAGCACTTTTGGGGCATTCTTTTGAGTTCTCCCAAGTGATAGCAAGAGCTAGTTGCCTACCTAGTATCCATTTTCCCCCAATATTTCTGGGGATAGCAACGTGCTCAGAAAAAAAATTAAACTATATTTCTCTGTCACCCTTGCAGATAAGAGTGGCTAATGAGATATAAGCGAAAATCATTGTTTGGGGAGTCTAAAGAAAGCTCTTAAGAGAGAGCTGACTCAGCCAACAAGTGTCTTTTTACTCTTCTCCCTGCCTTTTTCTTTCTCAAACATAGATGTGATGACTAGAGCTCTAGCAGTCATTTTATGATCATGAGGTGATCTTGAGAATGGAAGCAGAAAGACAGAAGGACCATGGGTCTCTGACGACATTATGAAGCTACCACACCAATTACTAGACTATCTACTCAAAACTTTTTTTTTAACAAAAGAGAAATATTCATCTCTAATTTTTTCAACCTAATGTTTTAGCGGTCTTTGTACTAGTGGCTGAATGCAATTCCAATCTGATACATCTCAGATGGACTGTATCTGCTTGTAGTATGTTCTTACACAAGTCCAAACACCCCTGGAGATGGCAAGTTCAATTGCCTATCTGAGCATCACTCACAAGGCTAATTATCTAGATCAGAGGAGGCAAACCATGGCCTGTGGGCCAAATCCAGCCACATTATTTGTTTATCTACTGTTTATAGCTGCTTTCACAATACAATGCAGACTTGAGTGGCTGCAACAGAGACCACATGGCCTGCAAAGCTGAAAATATTTACTTTCTGGCCTTTTACAAAAAAAACTTTACTGACCTCTGATCTAGATACTCACAAAGTCCTCATTAGTGTTATTTTTCCACCCACATATCCAGGGTCTAGCGTGGAGAGGGCCAGTGCTTTCCAAATATTACCAGCCCCTGGGTGGGCTGCACGAACCATCTGGGGGGAATCTGTAGTGTTCCAAAGCTTCCCTGGTGATCCTGATGGGGGATGTTATGGTCTGAATGTTTGTGTCCCTCCAAAACTCATATGTAGAAATGCTAACCCCCAATGGGATGGTATTAAGAGCCGGGGCCTCTGGGAGGTAATTAGCTCATGAGGGTGGAGCCCTCATAAAGAGGATTAGAGCTCCCTCACTCCTTCTGCCATGTGAGGATAGTGAGAAGACGGCCATCTGCGAACCAGGTTCTCACCAGACGCTCAATCTGCCAGCACCTTCACCTTGGACCTCCCAGCCTCCAGAACTGTGAGAAGTAAATGCCGCCCCGTCTACAGCAGTTTGTTATAGCAGCTCGAATGGACTAAGACAGTGGGCAATTAGGGGAACTGCTGATGTAAAGCACAGACTTAAGTGTCAGACAGATAAGCCACTCCTCCTCTCTGGCTGTGTATTTCCTCATCTATAAAACGGAGCTGGTTAACACGACCTTCTCCCAAGGTGGGGTGGAGAACATTTGGACATAAAAGCAATGCAGCTATGCTGGGGATCATGTAGACCACCATCTGGAGGAGATGGACATCAATTTAGGGAGGGAAGGAGGAGCCAGAGTAGAGAACAGTCCAACTGGATGGAAGGTCACATCCAGATGGGATAAATGCAACTGGGGCATAAAGCTTCTCTATTTTCATCAAGTTGTGACTCCTGAGGGGACAGTCTGGGTGTACAAAATATAAGAGCTGTTTCATTAACTTTTTACAGGTCCTAAGACCTTCCAGGGACACACAGCAACTACACTGCAAGGGAAAACAGTGGGAGAGAGATCAATGCATTTTAAAAAATTACGTGAGTTAAGAATAGCCCAGAGAGTAAAATCGCCAATGATAAATAGCTGTTGTAATCCGCAATCAGTGAATGTCAATACACATCTTAAAATCCTCTAACATAACGATACAAATAGGCATCTCTAACGTGTATGATAAATTCTGATTCTACATTTTTCACAACACATTCAATAGCCAACTGCTTCACTTAGTGAAAGCCTTGAGTCCCCTTCTGCTTCTCCGCCGGCCCCTTCTTGGCTTTCCGTATGGGCACCTCCTCTTCTACCCACACCTTAAAGGCAGAGGTTTCACCTGCGTTCCCCTCTCCCCTACACAAGCATCCACTCTCAGCCTGCGCATTTCATTTTTAGGTCAATGACCCCCAAACCTATATCTCTAGTCTGGACCTCTGATATGAACTCCAGACCCAGACTTGATTTCCCACAGGCACCTAAAACTCATCGTGTGCAGATCCGAACCCACGATCTGCAGCGCAAACGCACTCCTCCTTCTTTCGGGACCTTGCTCTTTCAGCGAACGGACCACTGAGCTGCCTGAGCCAGAAATCTGAGCATCAACTTGGACCAGTCCTGTTCTTTACCCCCAGATCCATGTACTGAACAATGGGGCCTGCCAATCCCACCTCCAAAATCTCCCTCCAGAGCCACCCGACCTCTGCACGGACCACTACAACAGGCCTCCCATTTTTCCCCACTCAATTCATTTTCATCTCCCCTGTTCAAACTCTTCAACGACTGCCTGTGAAGAGTGCTCATGCCAACGACTGGATCCGGGGTAGGTACGTGGGCAGCCTCTGTGGGCTCGGAAGGCTCGTGCGTCACTGCAGTTATCTTACTTCAGGCTCCACTCCTTGCTCTGGCAAACCAAGACGCCGCTGTCAATTTGCCTGCATTTTCTTTACAATTCTTTAATTTCTTTACAACTAGGATGGTGCCAATTTGCCTGCATTTCTTTAAAACATTGTAAAAAATGTTCAGATCAGAACAAATATCCTGTCCTAGGAACAGCATCCCTTGGCCTTCTAGCCTTCTCCTAGTTGTACCCCGGCTTTGGGGGA